TTTACAAGTTGTAATCATGAGTTCTACAAGAATGTGAGCAGCTTTTACAAGTCAGAATATTGTAATTACAGAAATTCTGACAAGCTGTGAATGCACTATCAAAAATGGCTGACATCATTTACATCATGTACGTCATCAGAATAGCAACCAAATAGTCAATAAAACAGTTCATCTAAAATATAATTCCAGTGTTTGTGTCGTGTATTAATAGAGATCGATAAAATACTATCGATGAAGTATAGCATAGCATCAGACTGTTGGAATCAACTTGTGTTGCTATTACTATTTTTGTGGCACATTTGAGTGAACAATAAGAGAGTTGCTATCCATGTAGAGATTTCAAGTTTAGTCATTTACAAGGCTTAATGTAGACTCTAGCAGCACACCAGGTTCCAGAACAGGGCCACTGTAAAGGCTTTGAAGATTTTTGAAAGGCTTTGAGATGTAACTCCAAGCAAAAGACATTTTTATTACCACCTCCTCATTAGAATACATACACCGCACTCTTTTGCACCTGTAGATATCAAGCTGTTTTTATGTGTTTGTCAGGATGGGGGCATTCTATGCTCCCGGTCTGGTGGGTATCAATGTACTGCGGCTCCTGACCTCCATGTACTATCAATGCTGGGCTGTAATGACCTGTAATGTCCCACATGAAAGGGCCTTTAAAGCTTCCAAATCTAATAACTTCTACATGGGCCTGTTACTGCTCATCCTCTTCTTGAGTCTCCTGCCTATGGTTTACACCATCGTGTCTTTGCCTCCCTCCTTTGACTGTGGACCCTTCAGGGGGAGTTAGGACGATTCTAAGGGCCCACACACTTTTGGGGCCCCCAGAGATCTGTTTTATTAGTAGTAACAGTAGTAGTAGTAATGTAATAGAAATTATAAATGTATCTACCAAAGAGTTACAAATAAAACAAAATTATGGCTTATTTCTGCATTTCCAGCAAAATTATCTCCCCCCATTCACTGCACGGTTTCATCCCATCCTACTTAGCCTAGAGTCACTGAGTGAGATCAGATGGTAAACTATCAAATTAGAGATGTCTTCGAGTTCAAGGGGGGGCAAACCAAGCCAGACGATTTGGTCAGTCGCACTTTTAAACAAATTTTAGTTTTGCTATAGAAAATCTACAAATTCATACCCTGATTATATAGAGCAGCAAAACAATCTCTTTTTTTATTAAGGCTTCTATTAAGCAAATCAAGGAGTGAATTACTCATCCACCGTTAACAAAAAAATACTTTAGCTGGGTTTCCACAGGCAGGGTCACAAATTATCTACAGTGTATGAAGCTAAAGGTTTTTGGGTTACGGTTCATAATGTAGAACATTTGTAACATTGTATGCTGTATGTGCATAGCTAGCTAGCAAACAAGGAATACAGCTGTTAAGCTAATAGTCACATTTACCTGAGTAAGATCATGATTGAGAAATGTTGGATACTGCTGGAAACGCTGCTATGGGGTATCCTGTTTATTATTTTAGGATTTTTTTTGTTTGCCTCAGTGAAGCATTTCTATTAATATAACTGATTAAGTAGTCAAACTCATTCCATATCAGCAGAATAGTGTGGTACAGAAAGTCTATGTCCATAAAACAGGTTCTGAATGAATTATGTTTCTGATATCTAATGGTCAAAAGCAACAGCAAAAGTAGGCTAATAGGTCAATATTATTAAATTGCAGACAAAAATTTTGAATAGCTAGGTTGGCTTGTACACTATACTGCCAAAAATATTGAGACACCCCCTTCTAATGAACAGGTTTGACTACTTTATTTCCATAAGTACAAATCTCAATGTTTAAGCATATAATGATATTCTAGGGAATTGTGTGCTTCTAATTTTATACCAATAGTTTAGACAGGACCCTTTTCTATTCTAACACGACAGTGCCTCTGTGTATAAGGCAAGGTTAAAAAAAAAGAAAAAAAGATTGATTCAGTCAGTGTGGAAGAGCTTGACTGGTCTGCAGAAAGCAAAGTCCTAATCCCTGAACACCTCTGGTGTGACTTTAAATGCAGACATTGAGCCAAAAAATCATCACCAAACACCAATGACTTGTACATATGGGTACAGTCATTTTAGACACTTCCAAAACTGTGGCAACAAAACTGGAAATACAATTTTTAAATACATGAATTATGTTTCCATCTTTGTTGCCACAGTTTTGGAAGTGCCTTTTTCTGTTCTAAAGAAACGGGGGTCCCAATACTTTTGTCCATATGTGTGTACAAGTCACAGGTGTTTGGTGATGAGTTTTTGGCTCAATGTCTGCATTTAAAGTCATACCAGAGGTGTTCAGCAGGGATTAGGACTTTGCATTCTGCAAACCAGTCAAGTTCTTCCACACTGACTGAATTAATATATTTTTTTTAACCTTGCCTTATACACAGAGGCATTGTTGTGTTAGAATAGAAAATGGTCCTGTTCAAACCATTGGTATAAAATTAGAAGCACACAATTCCCTAGAATATCATTATATGCTTAAATAAA